GGCATAATATTACTAAAAATTTAGGTAAAAATTAGTTATTTTTTACCAAATCTAAATTTCGAAAATTTAGTAAAGTACTAAATATGGATATTGTTCGGTTCTCTTGGAATTTTTGATCTATTTACAAAGCAGCGTCATTTTGCACAATTACGTAAATACACCATTATTATTCCAATTACTCTAATGATTCTAAATATAATTTTTTTTTGGTTTGCTTAGAATGATATTTATTTATTTCGAAAAATGTAGTGTTATGTCATTATCTAAGCCCACCATAAAAATACTACGTTTGTATATTTGTTATACTCCAGCCACTCGAACAATATTTATACGTAGCCGCATAAAACGCATACGTATTGTTTGTGGTATGTCATACGTAGTGGCTTCTTAAATCAAGCCATTAATGTTTGTGAGACTAATCAAAGTTGTATTGTTTGTTATTATTCGTTAACCCAAAGTCCTGAACAGACACCCTAAAGACTTCCCGCACCAAACACTAACTTCGTAGCTCAATTGAATGGTAAAGGTCTCTGCAACGTCACCAATCTATAAACTAATACAGTATTAAGTTACTCTTAGTAGTCAAGTTTTTTCGGATTTTGGGGTATTTCATAAATTTGGCATAATTATCGAGATATTTTTTGCTTTCTCAAGCCTTCATTCTTCGTATTATCAACAATTGTTACTAGGGTTGTAAGATGAGGCTTTATTTTCTGCTCTCTAAAGGTCTAAAATACCCAACTTGGATAATCTTTGATTAGAATTTATTAATTTCTAGAAATGAAAAGAAGGCAAAAAGTTCAATAATGTACTTTCAAAATATTGATATGTTTATCCTTTTTAACTTCATAGATAGGCATTATTAAATAGCTTAAATAAGTTTGAAGAGAAAAAATTTTTAAGCAACTTTTAAAATATTAAGTTTACTTGAGAATTACTGTATTTAAGTTTATACACAATAATTACTACACAAAATAGTTATTTTTAAAATTATAATTTTATTAAATTAATAGTATACAAATAATAAAATCTATACAAATAAAAATACCAAATTATATTCTAAAACTCTATATTACATTTAATATTTTTTCAATAATGCTTATTTTTATATCTTAATTTTTTCATAATAGTTCATAAGAATTAGAATTCTTTCAAAAGGCATAAAAGCATATATGCATAAATATAACAACTTTATAAAGCTTAATTTGTATTAAATTTCATAAACATAAGAATTGTATAAAGTTTAATTGATATTAAAGAAGTTATTATATAATTTTTTTAGAGAAGGTAATTAAAGCCCATTTCGTAAGCAATTGATGCATAATTTAAATAATCATAATTTATTATTGCATTTCAATCAGATAAAAATGATAGTTGATCATTAGAATTGACCAAATCATTTGAAATGTAGTTGTTTTGTATATTAAAAGATTTCATGTGGATTTATTTCAGAAATTTCATTTGAAAAATCAAAAATCCCGAGTCCATATTGGTTATAATGGGTAGGAAACTAGTTTTCACCAGTTAATAACAAGTTATTTATATTATTATTATTGAATTCTTGGTCTGCTTGAATTGGCAAATCAAGATATTGAGCAAAAGAAATTTCTAAATCAAAATCGAAATTATTTATACTAGGAGAACTATTACTGCTAGAAGTTGTTGATAACTCGGGACTCGGATAGGAATTTTGATTGGCAAGAAAATCGGCCTAATCATTAAATAAATCGAGGTCAAAAATTGACGAATCACTAAGCAATTCAGGAGTAGATACAGGTGAATCAAGTTGTTGATGTTTTGTGGGTTTATTAACAATTTTCATAGGTTTAGGAGTTTTAACTTTACGAGTAGAAGGTTTATCGAATGAAATAGTCTTCCATTGATCTCTCTTTTTTTTGAGGTTTTACTTTATGAATAATTCATTACGATAATTGAATGCATCTTTTGCGATTATTTTTATATTTATTTTTACTTCATCAGGTTCTTGTTCCCATGAACAAGATGCCATTGAAGATAATAAGTTATAACCACTAATAGAGCAGTTTCAACAAACAATTTTCGATAAATAATAAAAACATTAAGAGTTTTAGGAACACGACCATCAAGGTGTAAAACAATTAAATCACGATAATTAATTTCTGAAGTTTAATAAGTTGTTGAGGATTATCGATCACCTGACTTTGAATCATGGGATTGTTCCAGAGTTGGGTTAATCACAAAGCTGGATTGATATTCGCTCATGTTATAAATGTTTATGATTTAAAGCTAAGAATAATCCAATCCCATTATACGTATTTATATTTTTTCAAGCATCGAGTTTTGTTAGAGATTTATAATTTTGTCGAATAATTTTTTCCTTATTGGTTTGGTGGTGTGCTTTTTTTATTTATACTGTGTAATCTTTTTACCTTTTGCATTATGCGTAGGGATGGTAAAAAAAACGGTTTAAACAGTTTTTTTGGGGGTTTAAATCATTTTAAAAATTTTTTTAAAACATTGGTGATTGAGTCTGAAAATGAAATAAAAGATTTTACAAATAAACATTGGCTATATATTTACATAGACAATGCTTATTAGTCACTCGTAATCGGTCACCTCAGTTCTTAATTTGAGGTGTGACCAATTGTAGTGACGAATAAGCATTTGATATATAAAATATATAGATGATGTTTATTAGTCACAACCATGATTGCCTATACACCGAATCGGCCAAAAAATCATTCGGCTAATTCATATTTATTATCACTATAATTACGTCAAAATGTATTAAAACATTTATAATCAGTTTTAAAACATACAAACAAGATTTTTAAGATCATGTTTTAAATCATTTGCCATCCCTAATTATGTGGTGTGCTGATTTATACTGATTTTTGCATTTTGTGTTGGTTTTGGTCCAGTTTCTTGCATACTATCGACGGCCAAAGTTTCCTCGTAATTCCGAGAAAGGGAATTTCCATCCAACGTTTTTATAGTACGTATCTTAGATACGAGGGTAGATTAAAGAACACTGAACCCAGTGACACTCGGCCTAATTTAGGGTTAGGGTTAGGGTAAGAGTTAGAGTATAATTTAGGCTGATTTGTTTAGTGCTAGTAAACAAATGACGTCATGTAAATCACTGGGTTCAGTGATCTTAACTCCGATATAAATAAATTTTTTGCTCGAATTTGATGTTAAGATACGTGATATAAAACTTTGGTTACTTTTTTATGTACTCCGTTCAAAGTATAATTATATTTTTTCTCTTTTTTTATGTTTGTTTTTTTCACCGGAATTATTTTGTCGGTCTGATGATTTGATAATCACTGATCGTCAAAGACCTTAATCCCTTCCGATTAACCAAATCGACCTGACTATAAATAGTGTGAACCGGCATTATAACGATTATAATAATTATAATAATTATAATTATTATAATTATTAAAATACTTATAATCGTCTGATTATAATAATTACAATCATTATAATTATTATATAACGATTATCAGTTATAACAATTATAATTCAAATCTGTACTATGTTTCATTTTATATAAATAAAGGGCATTTCGCCCCCTCCTCTGCTCAATATCGAGCTCTTGACACAATATAAGTTCTCGTTCTAAAATATCAAGTGTTCTGTTCCTAACATAAATTCCCAAATACATTTCGCTAAATCACTTACCTGGTCTTTTACTACGTATAAAGACTTTCGCTAAGTATAAACCTGTTCCTGTGATAACGTTATGCTGCCCAAATTACTCTTTGTAATAGAGTAATCGTCATTTTGTTTATTGAGTAAGGTAGAATTTGCCGCTTAGTCTTGTGTCTGATTATCCTAAAGGTAGAGGATAAGCCAGCTTAGTTAGATTAAGGGAAGTTAAAGACCCCATAACGTAAAGAAGGCCTGCCGCGTGACTTGAGTCCGGAACAATAACCAAAGTCTTATACCTCCGCTCGACAAATCTAACCGCCCTTTCGATAGGTTGTTGAGTTACGTGACACGAAGACCACACAATTCGAGCGACTGACTCGCCGTATTTCGAGTGTGACAATAGGTTTAGAATCCCACCGATATTACTTACCCTTATCGTTATAGTAATTAGATAATTAACCCAGTACCTCGTTAACTATTGGAGCTAAATCGTGCAGCGATATCCGCTATCCCAATATACAATAGTAACAACAGGGACGATGATTTGTTGTATTTCACAGAAAACCACATAATTTTTCTTAAACGCAGCTAACCACAGAAATTGACCTTAATCACCGCAGAATACCATATAATGCACAAAATAGCACAGAATTATGAGGAAATTACCGTAGAATACCACAAAAAGCCAAGAAATCACAATTTATAATGGAAAATTTCGGAAGTAGACAGTTAATAAACATAAATTACGAGCGTGGTCAGCGGGATTCTCGGGATAAATAAAATAAATTTCAAAATTTAAGCGTATTTAATCGCACAGAAATCGGGTAAAAAATTAGCACAGAATTTGTCTTAAGCACACGCAGAATTTACAGAGTTGGGGCACGGGGCTTTCATTCTGATTGGTTAATTTTTGTAGATATTATACATGTAAACAATCACAATACATATAAACAATCACATTTTTTTAATCTCTGACCTTTCGAAATGGAAAAATTTTTACTAACAGAAAAACCAGATAAAATAACAATTATCACAGCAATGTACGCAAGAATAAAGACTAAAGAATGGACTGGTAACGAAGACGAGGAGGTTAAAGTATTTGTCGAAACAAAAGAAAAGATACTTAAAAACTTGTCTCTAAAAAATGAAAAAATACGTATTGAAAAATTAAAGACTCTTGAAGATACCAAAGTTAAGTAATATCTGGGTGTCTTATATGCTAAAGTTAATGAGAATGTGATGAAAATCTTGCTCGTAAGCATAATAAAGGTCCTTTTTTTAGCTCTCAAGACATTCACAGTTTGTGATATTGCAAAAATATACCAAGCATACGTTACAGTAACAGTTTTACTGCGAAGATGTTCGTAGTGATATGTCACAATAGGGTTAAATTTATATCATACAATATTACAGTAACAGGCTTTTGCCTGTGAAGACGTTCATTGTGATAAAGGACAAGCAAATTTATTATGCTACCAGTGGAATACAGAAATTTGGTCTAGAGCTTTTTTTCAAATAAACTTTTGAAATCATATAACTAACTTTAATACCTCAATAAAGGCTGCGGTGCAATTTAAAGCTCTTGAAGCACTGATAGAGGCGGGCGCGCTGATAACAGTAAATTTTTTATACATATATTTTAATAATTAATACTGAATAAAATTAAATCCAAAGTTTGTTCAGCCAGTAGAAATCGCCGAATGGAAAAAATATGCTAATGAAAACATTAGTAAGCTGAAAACTGTCTTGGTAAGAAACGTGAATATTATAATTGTGTTCTAGTTTTAGTTATAAGTTAAAATTTTTCTTTTATTAAGAATCAATATATAGAATCAAAAGATGTATTTAAGCGAAGTGCTCACTCACGTCTCCGTTCCCAACTACTCAAAGAACTAAGTAATATGAGTGCTGATAATTTGACATATGATAATCCATTAGCAAGTGGAATTATTTGTGATGAATCCGAATTAGTCAAAAAGCTGCCACAAGATTGTCAAGAAGAATTTCGGGTATTTAACAATAACTGCAGAAATTGTTATTACAATTAAATTCAGACCAACTATTTATAAATAGACGGGCATCTTGGAAATGAAGCTTGATAGCAATTCTGATTTAAGACAAGCTTCTGAAAGTTTGGTAAAGAGCCATCAATTATGGAAAAAGCAAAAGAAAAAACGGTTTGAAAATAAAGTGGAATATGGAAGCTTGTTCGACGAGAGAAAAGATATAATAAAATTCTCAACAAGAATATCAAATGCTTTGTATGATATATATTTTATTATTTGTGGTAAAAAATCTTTATTTAACTTTTTATTTTTATTCGTAGAGAGAATGTATGGAGAACACAGCATTATGCTATGATGGCAAGTGCACTAGACCAAGTTAATGAAGGCACGTACGTTGCAGAGGTATTAGCGCCTTTGTTAACTGCTACCTTTGCAGAATTACCAGTTCCCGTAATGCATAAAACAAATTGGTAATATTTTTCTTTCTTATATTCTATACTTGTTAGTTTTTAATTCTCATATCTTTAATTAGGGGAGAAGTTGAGAGCCCTTCTAGTAAGGCTCGTAAACAGTTACACAGAAATAAACCAGATTTCATGCTACGCGTGAAAATTGGCGACAAAGAGCTTGAATTAGTTAATATGGAAACAGGACGACCAGAGTCAGATTGGAAGAAACAATTGTCTGACCATAATAAATTGGCGCGTAGCACTAAAGATGCTTTTGAGGACTTTTCTATCAATGGAAGTGTAAAAAAATATGGATATGATGAATTGACAAAGATCTTTTGTCTTAACCTTAAAGGCGAGTGATAGGAAGCTTAATTTTTTCTTTACACAAGATTTCTTATTGTTATTTTATATTAGGGCAGTATTTATCAATTCATGTGTTTTCCAAAAGCAAAGAAGGATATTATCGTTTTATTAAGATGCGTCAAGTTGAGATTTCGCTGTTTCAAAGCAAGCCTGAGCAAGTTTATGAACTGATGCAATTACTGTTAGAACTGCGGGTATGTTTGCTATTCTTTTATTTTTACTTGATTTAGTATATTTGAATATTTGATTTATATGACAATTTGCAATATTTTAAGACTGTTGTTATTAGAACAGTTAGGATGCTATTTTATCGATACAAGTCTAGACACTCCAAAAAGCTAAATAAGGATACTGTTTATGGTATTAAGCAAATGTTTGTAACAATAGGAACACCAAAGGGTATTAAGAAGCGATAATACGATGCTATAGATTTTTTTTTTCTTTTTTTATGTAAATAGATTCAATTTTTAAGAATATTGAGTCAACGCATTTTAATAGTCAACAATCCAGATTACTATAAATTAGCAGATTGTATACTATTATATAAATAGTTGTTCTAATCTTTATGAAATTATTAAAAGAAGGATTTTGTAATATAGTACATATGCACTTGTCTATCACGTGACCAAATTTAATAATATATATATTACAACATAGCGGGCTTTCATTCTTATGATACAAAATCTGATTGACTAATCGAAACAAGTTCGAAATAAAAAAAAATTTAGAAATTATTAAACAAAAAGATAGATTTAAACGTAAATTCGAATTTATAATAACAATTTTTAATATATTGACCCTGACAGTCATTGTCAATTGTGTATCTGGGTAAGTTTAATAAAAAAAAAAAAAAAACAATATCTTTAAACCAATAATTTCTTAAATATATTTATAAATAATCTTTATTAACCAAATCGCTTACTAACCATACATAGTTTAATAATAAATAAATTAAAAAAAAAACCCCCCGTAAACTATCAATAAAGTACATGCACATGGAGAGTATGAACAGTATAAAAAACTGAACATTAACTATAGAACATTACCTATCGAACATAGCTATAATCGTACATATCCTTCACATACTCTATATACTCTATATCTAATATATTGTAATCTTTAAAAACTTAATCGAGTTACCTATATTCAAAAAAAATTATTAAAAAAACGAACTGTAAGTATTGCTGTTTAAATCGCTATTTTCAAGTTTTTTAAAAAAAGCTTAACACTTATTAGTCAAGGTACGAATTACCTTGCCAAATGCTGAATTACCTTAACCTATAAGATGAAAGGTGCATCTCATCACTAACTTCTGGATTATTTCTTCATTCTTTAGATTATTTTTACTGTAGGTAGAATAAAAGGTGTAGTTTCAAATTTGTATGTCATATCTTTTGACAATTCGTTTTCATGGTTGCCAATTTGTTTAAAGTCAGATGATATATGTGTAATATGTGATGATATATTTAGTGATTGACCAATCAGAATTAAAGCTCGCTATATTATATATTATAAAACAAGTTTGATTGATTACTACTAATAATGAGAATCAGTTTATATGATGCAGATCTTTACTAAATAATATCAGATATATAGGCTTTTTTAGCTCAAAATCAATGTGATTTTACAACTATTAATATAAAGGTAATTTCATCATATTTTAATGCACTAGAGTATGAATAGTAATGTGAGTAAGTTTTATAGTGTAGTAATCATTCGTTAAAAAGTTTCATTAGACATGAAGTAGTATTTGTAGTCTGAAAATAAAAGCTGATCATATAAATTGTGATTTCAAATAGATAAATTCACTGGTACTTACTTTTTAGTTCATATAAAGATATTCAATAGAACTCATAATTTGTCTTGTTCTTTTTTATAACTTCAAAAACTATATAAAAAGCTAGTAGGTAAGCGAATATACTTGAATTAAATTGAACTCAGAAAAAAAAAATTGATCTAAAAAAAACTAAGTAGGTGAATACAATGAAATCAAAAAGCAAAAGAAAAAAAAAATATTATTTTTATCTAATTCTATACTACTCATCTTATTGCAATTATGTACAGTACTACTTGTCAAAAAGCCTTTATTCAAATTAGTGTCTAATGCAGTTCTTGTAGCCTATGCCAAAAACATTTCATAGTATCGTGTTATTCATCCTTGAATAGTTGAGACTTTTAGTATTTCTTCTTGCTCTAACTCACCATTATCTGCAAATTCTTTCAACTTATTATACATATCAGTAGCTATCATCTGATCTTTTGCATAAATATTTCCTTGCAAGAATATTTGTTCAAGGATTTTTTTAACTATATCTACAAAGTGATCATATAATACTCATATCTACATAGTTATTTCCTTATGCTAACTCACCAAAACAAAAACAAAAATTTAAAGCTAATAGAAGAATCTTTGACTACAACTCTATGAACAAAGAAGCTTGGGAAGAATTTACAAACCTAGTTAACTACAATCTCAACTAAAACAATACTCTTCTTATATTAAATTCTACTAATTCTCTCGAAACACATTAGCACAAAATTCAAACAAGTATTATTTCTGCTGCTCTTAAGATAATACCAAACAAAAAACTTAAATTTAAAAATTTACATCATACTCATTCACAAAAAGCTACACAACTTCACCAAAATTTAAAATTAATAGGACAAATTATCTGACAAGTCAAACATGCACTCAATAACAACTCTCTAATTCTAGCTAATATTCCTTCCTTAATCAACCAAATTAACCAATAACAAAACCTAAATATTGACAATCCTCCTACTGAAAACAACCAAATTCTAACATGGCTTAATTATTTACAAGCATACTGGAAAACTCTATATAAAGCTTATAAAATAGAAAACTCAATATATATTTGACAACAAATTAATACAGCAATAGAAAAAAGATGCTCAGCTCTCCAAACATATCCAACAAAAATGATTAATAGTATACTTGACAGATATACTGACCATGTTTTTTTCCAAAACTTCAAAACTAATACAAATCTAAAAACTAATTCTATCCTTATTAAAGAACAAGTCAAAAATTACTTTGACTAATAGACTGAATATAGGTCTATTAATTAACAAATCTTTAATACAACTTGAAAAGACTGCTACAAGCCAATCTCTTCAATTAACTCTTCTCATTATGATATTGTTCTCAATACCATCACAACAGAAGAAATTATCTATACACTAAAAAACCTTCCTAACAACAAAGCATGTAGTCTATCAGGTATTAGCTATGAAATGCTTAAACATGCTAGTAACCTGTTTCTACAATTAGTCACAATTCTGCTTAATAGATGTTTAACATCTTAAACAATTCCAAAACAATGGAAAGAGGAATATATCTTTTCAATTTCAAAAAAGCTAGTATTTGATAGCAATCTAAATAATATTAGGCCAATTAGTCTTATTGAACATATTAAAAAACTTTATACAAAAATCCTTACAAACTGTCTTAATACTTCTATAATATCAAAACAAATTCTCTCTCCACTTAACTACACTGGTCAAAATTAAAAATATTATCCAAATATCAGTATATAATCGGAAAGGGTAATAGCAGACCAATATGATGAAGACTATAATCAGATTTTTTATAATGATAATAACAGGCTGATAGGCTAAAGATTTTGGTGAAATATGTCAAATATCAGATTATAGCCAGATTAAAACACTTAAATATCAGGTATAA